TATATATATATATATATATGATGAAGTATATTTAAAATTTTTCATCAGACAAATACTGTACAAATACTTTTTTATTTTGTGTATAGTGTGCATTTTTGTGTGTGTGCATGTACTTGCGCTGTAGGCCACCGATGTAGTCAAGTTTCTCCTGCTGTTCTGCGGTGATCTTCAGTGTAAGTTCTCCTCTGCGCTCTTCCAGAAGAGCATACAGACGATCAAACCACTCACATACACGAGACTTTTGCCTTCGACCATTCTCCTACACACAATCACACATGCACTGATATCAATACTTGGACCGTAATGTAAGAAATAACTGAAAGTTATGATGAAATGGTCAACAGAAAAAAAACAGTCATTACTGCTGATAACACGCACACACATACTGACCTCCACAGCTCTGCAGCTTTCCTCTAGCTGACTGATGATGCCCTGAACTCTGTCATTGTTGCCAACCAACACAGCAACACCATCAGACAACTCGGTCTGCACACACAATCACATAAATATAAACTGATCAATAATCATGATGATTAAACACAGAGGTGCAGGGAGAGGAAAGCAGAAAGATAGATTTAAAGCAGTCTCACTTTCTGGGTTTCATAGACCGATTTGAGCGGAGCAACTTCACAGGACTGATGACTCCCAAAGACTTTACATAGTGAACAAGTGGGAACAGAGCAGGTCACACAGTATATATTAATCTTCTCATCCGGATGCTCCTCACACATCAACACATCGTTCTTCAGTTCTGGTTCAGGCTTACTGCTGCTGACAAGAGAGATTTTAATTAAATTGCCTTTATTTAGACCTACTAGATCTTAAAATGTGTAGGGTACAAGGGGGCTAAAGGCGCCCCGGGGTAAAAGGCGCCTTTGATATTATTTTCATCTAAACCACTAGATGGCACAAAAACGTGGCGTAGCACTTTCCAAAACATCCGCTTTTCAAGATGCACGTGTATTTTTGTCTGCTCCTTGACGCGATCGCGCGCAGCAGTGCAAAGTTGATTCTGTGTTTACTTGATCTAATATTCGATATTTTTTTAAATGTTGTAGATTTAAGTAGCAAATGAGAATCGCTCAACTTTACTTATTAAAACGATTTTGTTTCTGTATTTTTAAATATATTTTTTTATATTAACATTTTATTGACAGTATATTTATTGAAAAAAATATTCTTTTATTTTTCAAAATAAGCAGAAAATAGTACAAACTTTGCTAAAGTGATTGTTTCTTAAGGTGGGCCTTTAGCCCCGTTGTACCCTATAAGTGTATAGAGTACAGAATATGAATCTTCAAAAAAGGGAGAGAGAGAGAGGGAGAAATGAGAGAAAGTAATTGCTGCTGTTCATGTTGATGTTTTTCCAAGTGTGTGTGTGTGTGTGTGTTGGGGCAACTGATAAACACAGAAAGTGTGTCTGAAATAGCTCCTGTCACATTGGCATACTAATAAATATAGCCCAACACATACACAAACTGACAACGTGCTGAAATAGAATAGAATAGGAGGACAGTCTTGGTTCAATAGGTTTCCAAATGATTATACAGCATAAATGATTGGAGAGGAGAATATGAAGCTGGAAAGTTTAGTTATAGTAATAGTACCTGCTGGATTCCTGTTTGTACATATCTATGATGTTCTCCACCAGCAGGTTCCTCTGCAGGCCATACACCCCATGTCTATCCAGAACCACTTCATGCCTACAGGATGGGCAGCGGAACCGGCCGCCAGAGCCCAATGTAGAACCTCCTCGTGTGGGCAAGTAGGGGTTTGAGGCCTAAAACACACACAAGGGAATGGAATATACTAGGTCTATATTATGTCTGGTCTCAGTGGAAGAATGAAATCCAATTGCACACACACAAATATGTATTATATATAATAACTTGTCATCATTATACAGCAGCAGCTGCTGGTTTTAAAATCACCACTGGAAAATCAAGCTTAAACTGGTACTTTTGGAACATATTAGCTAGTCTAAACTGGTTACTAGCTGTTCCAAGCCATTCCAAGCACTAGACGATCCTGAACCAGTAATATACTAACTGTTCATACCAGCTTCTCAAGATGTTTATTAAAATATATTGTGTTATGAAATACCATGTTCCAAAAAAAATAGTTAACTTCAAGTTTTGTATATATTGGTACCTGAAAGATGTCATTGGCACATTTGCGGCAGAGGTTGTGCTGGCACGGTAAGATCACCACCGGTTTGGTGAAGATCTCAAGGCAAATAGGGCATATCAGCTGCCTCTCCAAACTCTCCATGGTCTCGCGTGTTCTTGGGCACCAATCCAAACCCACGCTCATCACGCGGAGCGCACGCGCTTGATGAACACACACTGGTGTGTGCTGGCTGCTCGGTTTATTTTTATTTTCTTACAAAAGAAATGCAGTTGTAACGCTGTCTCCCCGTGTGGGACGCGTACAAAACGCTTCGTCACCTTCCTCCACGCGCTCCTGTAGTGTCTGGTCTGTTTTTAGAATGGGTACGTCAAGGTTGCCATGATAACGTGACCATATATGAAAACTGCAGTGAGCGAGACCCGGACAGCTGTCTGACCCCCACCAACAAGCTCGCAAACCTCGCCCACTACCAGGCCGGGAATTACGCACACCCCTGGAAACCAGTCATCAGACCAATCATCTTTTCCCATACAAGTTAATGAGATGAATTTCTTGTTAAAACTGAAGGGTATGCCCTTGCAGTTCCATTTTTGTTTTGATTCTAATAGTCTCAGATATGTTTAATTTAAAAGCTTTTGCTTAAATGATCGGCGCTGCTTTTGTAGACAAATATTCACCTAGAAAACTAACATTGTTATTTATTTATTTACTAATCTACTAATCACTGCTAGACACTAGCACACTGACATGAAAAATAGTGTTAGATCGCCATCTAGTTGCTCAGTATTGCTTTATATTTTTCACAGTTGCTGAACTTGTGGACCTTTTTTTTTAAATTATGAACAGTTTCCAGATAATGCAGGTGTGTCTCGTACAGACGCAAGTGTATTGCACACGTCTCTATTAACACAAAACAAGGAAACTAGGTAATATAACAGTTCTGTGTCTCGGTTTATATTTGTGTCTACACACTGTAAAATGGCAGAATCCAGTATTTCAGGGGCTCAGGATGAGTTCAGCTGTTCAATCTGTCTGAATCTACTAAAGGATCCAGTAACCATTCTCTGTGGACACAGTTACTGTATGAGCTGTATTACAGGCTGCTGGGATCAGGATGATCAGAAGAGAGTCTACAGCTGCCCTCAGTGCAGACAGACCTTCACTCCAAGACCTGTTTTAGGTAAAAACACCATGCTGGCTGAAGTGGTGGAGAAACTCAAGAAGACAAAACTACAAGCTGCTCTTCCTGCTCAGTGTTACTCTGAACCTGGAGATGTGGAGTGTGACATCTGTACTGGGAGAAAATATAAAGCTATCAAATCCTGTCTGGTGTGTCTGGAATCTTACTGCCAGACCCATTTTGAACGTCATGAAGAATTTCGCTCTGGCAAGCGACACAAAGTGACAGATGCTATTGGAGAATTAAAAAAGATGATTTGCCCTCAACATGATAAACTGAAGGAAATTTTCTGTCGTACTGATCAGCAGTGTATTTGTTATATGTGTATGGTGGATGAACACAAAAACCACAACACTGTATCAGCTGCTGCAGAGAGGACTGAGAAACGGGTATGAACTGTATCATACAGAAATAAATGTATTTTGTACCATATATTTTATATGCTTTGTAACTTATACATGATAAGAAGATATCCTGTACAGTAATGTTTTAAATAAATTAGGTGAATTAATTGATGGCTTATTATGTTATCATGGTGTGGTCACAAGTTCAATTCATCTCCTTTTGAAAGGACAGAGAAAAGCAGGAGTGAAATTTGTCCTCTGTTTAATGATAAACTTTTATAGTGAGCTGATGAAATATAGGTTATGATGATATAGTATCAGAACATGTTAATAATTCTCCTGTCTTGCGTAGTGAGACTTGCGTAGTGAGACTAAATGGCCACTTAATCTGGCTTAGATCTGCCTAACTATACAGAGGACTGATTTTTCACATTATATTTCTGTGGTCTTACAGAAACACTTGGAAGAGACCCAGAGAAAATTCCATCAGAGAATCCAGGAGAGACAGAAGGAACTTGATGAGCTAAGAGAGACTGTAGAGTCTTACAAGGTGAGTTTTGAGCAGAAGAACAACTGCTGGCTGCTGAAGAGCTGTTTCAGACTCAGTTATGACTCTCCTCCAGTCAGTCAGTGAGGAGCCAGTGCTGGAGCTCTTTCAGTCCCACTGAAGCCCACTGTGGGGAACAGGCTGTGTGAGGCAGCAGTAAGAGCTGAGTGAATGGACTGATTTTGATGCTTCTCTCTCTGTGTGTCCTAACAGCGCTCTGCACAGACAGCAGTGGAGGACAGTGAGAGGATCTTTACTGAGCTGATCCGCTCCATTGAGAGAAGCCGCTCTGAGGTGACACAGCTGATCAGAGATCAGGAAAAGGCTGCAGTGAGTCGAGCTGAAGAACAACTGAAGCGACTGGAGCAGGAGATTGAAGATCTGAGGAGGAGAAACGCTGAGCTGGAGCAGCTTTCACACACAGACCATCACATCCATTTCCTCCAGGTAACAGAGATCTGACAAACAGGACAGTGATCTTTAGGAAGGGAAGAGCATGTTGTACAGACATTGTGTTTCTATCAAATGTTTCTGTGTCTTT